TAGAGCAAAACGAGAGGCCATAACAGCTGTTACGTTAACTGTCCTCCTTGGCCTCGGAACTGTGGGTGCTGGGACGGGTATAACCTCTCTCATTCTCTCCAATAAGCATTACTGTGACTTTCGCCGGACAATTGACAAGGATATTGAGAGATTGGAGATTGGCATCACCAACTTGGAGAAATCCCTAGTCTCACTGTCCGAAGTTGTCCTACAAAATTGAAGAGGGCTAGACGAGCTTTTCCTCCAGCAAGGGGTGCTCTGTGCTGCCCTTAAGGAAGAGTGCTGTTTTTACACAGATTATACTTGGGATTGTAAGGGACAGCATGGCTAAGGTTAGGGAAGGCTTAGAAGAGAGAAAGAGAGAGAGAGAACAAGAGAAAAGTTGGTTTCATAATTGGTTTTCAACCTCTCCCTGGCTCACCACCCTCCTTCCTTCAATCTTGGGACCCTTGGTGGGTTTCCTTCTCCTAGTATCTTTCAGCCCATGGGCCATTAAAAGACTTACTGGCTTTGTAAAACAACAAATTGACTCCCTGGCATCTAAATCCATACAAGTTCATTATCACAGACTTGATTTGGCTGACAGAGGCTTAGCTTAGCTGAGCCGGAGGAAGACTGCTGACAGTCCATCACATGGGTCTTGACTGCTTATGTTTGGCTGTCATGAGAACGGTATGAAACTCAGATAAATGCTTTCCTGGGTACCTGTAATGGGGTGCAAGATGACATTGCAAGGGGAGGGCCCAATTGCCAGCTTCTGAGTCCCCTGAGAAGCAAACCTGATTGCATAGAGGTTGGTGTCTGATTACCCCTAACCACAACCTGCTGGGGATGCCCTCAGGTTTTAATGGGGTCTTCCTCTCCTCCCCAAAAAGGTCTCCAAAAAGGCTGCAAAAGCCTTGGGAGGATCAGGTCACGACTTCCCCCCTCTGTTTAATGCCCACCGTCTGTAAAAGACCTCATGTTCAAAACCTACTTGCTAGCCTCTTAAATTGTTTAAGAAGGGAGGAGATGCCAGGAGTCAAAGCTATCTACTGAAGCCAAAGTCAATTAGTGAGCCAAAGCTATCTAGTGGAGACAAAGGTAGTTACTGCAGCCAAAGCCAAATAATGAGCAAAGGTCAATTAGTGGAGACCTAAAGCTATTTAGTGAAAGAGTTATCTAAGACCCAAACTCATGGGTGATAGATTGTGAGGACATCCATTTGTTAGAGCATCTGTAAGATATCTGAAGAAAAAAATCCTTATGGTATCTTGCAGGTACAATATTTAACCCATGAAAGCACTCTTCCTATCTCCTGCAGCAGTAAATTAACCTTCCACCTTTCCTGCCTTCTCCTTATATAAGTTGGGTAAAAATTTCTAATAAACGAGGCTTTGATTGGAAGAACAGACTTGGCCTTCATTTCTGTGTCTCTTGTTCCTCCCCTCCCCCATTCATTCTAATCCTTAGGAACCCTGTTGAAGTCCCAAGGGTAGGGACAGTATCCCAGAAGGAGAAAGACACCCATGGTATATACTCACTTATATGGACCTATAAGATATGATAAACATAATGAAATCTATACACCTAAAGAAGATAAACAAGAAAGAAGACCTGGGGTAAGATGATCAATCCTCACTTAGAACAACAAATGGGATGGGCATTGGACGTAGGAGAAAACAAGTAAAAGGACAGGAGCCTACCACAGAGGGCCTCTAAAAGACTCTACCTAGTATTGTATCAAAGCAGATACTAAAACTCATAACCAAACCTTCAGCAGAGTGCAGGGAACCATATGAAAGAAGGGGGAGTTAGTATGACGTGGAGAAGATAGGAGCTCCACAAGGACCTAATATATCTGGGCACAGGGGTCTTTTCTGAGACTGATAATCAACCAAGGTCTATGTATGGATATAACCTAGAACCTCTGCTCAGATGTAGCCTTGCTATCTCAGTAAACAAGTGGGTTTTCCTAGTAAGGGGAACAGGGACTCTTTCTGACAGGAATTCAATGGCAGGCTCTTTGACCTCTCCATGCCCCAAGGGAGGAGCAGCCCTGCTAGGCCACAGAGGAGGACTTTGCAGACAGTCCTGAAGATACCTGATAAAACAGGGTCAGATGAAAGGGGAGGAAGTCCTCCCCTATCAGTGGACTTGGAAAAGGGTAGGGAGCAGATGAGGGAGGGAGGGTGGGATTGGGAGGGAATGAGGGAGCGGGATATAACTAGGATACAGAGTTAATAAAATGTAACTAATAATAAAAATAAAAAAGAAAATAAAAGGAAATCTCCTGTCTCAATGTTGTTTAAACTCTGCTCCCCAGTGATTCCCTGATATGTCAATAAAGCAGCTTACAGCCAATCAGGAAGGCAGAGAATATTGCTAGACTTCCTGCCAGCCAAGGGAGGAGGAGTTATAGGAGAGGAGGTAGGGGATTCAGCAGGTAGCAGGGCAGGTTAGGGGCGTGGATAAACCACAGGAGATGTCCAGGAAAGATGAGGAGAGAGGAACTGGAGCAGGAAAGGTACAAAATGTAAATATCCTGGGATGTAAACTGGGAGGAAGGAGTCAATGCTTGTATTGTGTAGCAAATTATAAACATATATAAAGAGTTTCAATTATTTATATGATGCCTGGTTAGGAGTGAAACTAAGAGAAAAACAGTTCTTAGAAATAACTGTAACAGTTATCTGGCACTAATCAGGACCTATATTCAATCACCAGTCTTAGCAACAAGGAAGAAATGTAAAACACATTCATGTTGCCTTATAACCTCATCAGAATCTGATGTTTTCATATTTTCTTTCACTTGAAATGATACTAATCAGGTGCTTTCTCACCAACCAGATCACCACCAAATCCAGTATTCTCAGTTACTACTTAACAATGTAGTTATGCTATGTTTTTACTTAGGTCAACATTCTGTTTTTATAGGAGAATTACTTAACAAATTATATTCAATGAACATCTTTCTATTTATTTTTGTTTTTATGTGATTAAAAGTAATTTATTTTAATACCCTCTTCTTATTCTAAGAAATCCTAATTGTCTAAATTTGTCAAAAGTACTTTTCAACACAAACTCATAAAGCATTATACCAACTCATTCTCCCTGAGGGCATATATACGTGTGTGCATATTTGTGTGTGTTTGTGTGTGTGCATCCCACACCTTACAGTATCTATAGAAATCATTTGCAGGACTACATGCTCTATGAATTGGTTTCTGCCTGGTTTACATCTTACTGCGTACCTTTCTGAGTTCCACCCTTCCTTACTTGAAAAGAATTAAAAAGGAGGTTCCACAAAGTTCAGTCTTTAGCTAGTCTTTTCTTTATATGTGGTTGGAAATTTTGACAGCTCTTTGCTGTTTCCAATTGTTTTAAAATTTAAGGCATTGTACAGGAACTATTACTTTCATTCACACAAAGTCTGAGCCTTTTAGGCATACAAAATTGCCTTAGCTTGGGCACCAGGATACAGACAAACTTTGTTCTGTGCTCTTACAAAAACAAGCAAGGAAACAACCAAAAACAAAACAAATAAAGCAAAGGTGATTCACGTCTGAAACTTGTAAACTAAAAAAGAAAAAAAAAAAAAGAAAACAAAATTTCAGAAGCTGATTCAGATATTTTATCATTTCCTAGAAATTTGCACAGAATGCCCAACTCCCTTCCAACCTAGTTTAAACTGTCCACACAATTTCAATAAACTTACAAGTTGATTTTTATTTAGGGTTACATCTCTTCATATTTGTGGAAAATGAACTATTTATGATCTTGGTGCTGTACAATTCTTGCAAAACTGTCAGGAAACAGGGTTTTTAAAAGGTGTTCAGGTGTTAAAGATAACTTTTTTAGTTGGCAGATTGAGATTCCAGAGGCAAAGAGCGTATGAAAAGAACAAGAAGACAAAACAATATAAATCTGTGGTTGTGTGAAAAATCTTTATATTATAATACAGATGTTTCACTGGTATACCTTAAGCAATAACTTCAAATACCATTTCTAAAGCCTCTATAATCACTGTATAATAATCAGTCCGTTGACTAGCAGTATAGAAATCATCTGGGAACTAGCAAGTGTAGACTTTTGGGAATTGTTCCAGATATGCTGAACTATAATAATTCATATTCAATAATAAACCAGAGGATTGCTTTTATATCATACATGTGTATTTCATTACTTTAAAATTTAATGATACAGTGCTTGAAGATGCAGCTCAGTCATAGAATGCTTGCATACTGAATACATTTATTCCATAGCGTTGCTGAAAAAAGAAAATATATTTTCATTAAAGTCACAAAGGACATATTACACAACATGGACAGTCTAGGTAATTTACTCATCTCTGTTGATACATTTTTATATTAATCCAATAATTTGATATTATAGAAAACACAAAAATGCTTGCCTAAAGGCCACTGACACTGCCTCCCTTACTAAAATCCCTCATTTCAGTTGAATCTGGCTGTCTTAATAGATCCTGTGGACACATCATTTTTGCTAAGCTTGCCCTAAATGAAGGAGCCAGAAAGTGTCCATTACACCATATGCCAGGCTATGTCAACTTGAGCTGTTTCTGGATTTGAGCCTTGCATAAAGCTTTTTCAAATTATTTTGTAGACACTTGCCATCCAGATCTTTGTTCTTGTACAGTTACCACCTCAAGGGTTTAGGCAGTGCCCTTGAAGATAAGGCTATTTGTGCCTGAGGGAGCTTTAGTGGCAAGGGTGGGGACAGTGGGAAGGACCTGCATTCCTGGTCTCCAGTGAGGTTAGCAGGGTATCCCTTGTAGGTGGAGGGCTAGCAGAAAATCCCCATGTGGGCGCGTGGGCAGGGGCAAGCGCAGGAGACTTCCGGGTGAGAAAGGTCTGGGCGGATGTGAACGGTTGGCACGCGCACAAGTGGGATCCCCGTAATCGTTACCTAGTGATTGTCGCCTAGCTACATCTGTTGTCTATAGGCCATCTGGAGGTAGTCAAGTCCGTGTTTGGTTGCGGGCAATATAGAGAGCCGCAATGGACACAAGACAGTGCTCGCTACTCCCTTGTGATGTAGATAGCCTCAGGAAGGAAGTTCAACTGAGGGTAACCCCTTCGGAGTTGAAGTTCCAGGATACAGTATCTGGGAAAGTGTACCGCCTCCCTCTTACTGTACACAATTTGGGCCGCTGGAACCAGAAGTTCAGGTTTCAAGAGCCAGCAAAACCGCAGGTGACACATTAAGGGTACTGAAAGCTTCTGGGTAGCCTCCACACTTGAGCATTTCTTTGTCCCAAAGATCAAAATCTGGGCTCCTGATGAATTGGCGGAAGGATTGTATTTTCTGAGGTGTGGTCACCAGGAAGGGGGAGAGGGAGATAGGAGGAAGGTATGCATGAGGGGAGGAGAAGAGACAGGGAGCAAGGAAAGGGGTTGGACAGAGACAGGAGGGAGGGAGGCTCAAAGTGAGAGGGACTGAAAAGGAGAGAGAGAGGTAGGACCAGAGAGAAGGAAGGAGAAGGAGAAAGAAGAGAGGACAGGAGAAAGGGAAGGAAAAAGAAGGAAGAGCAAGGAAATGAGGGAAAGGGAGAAAGTGTGAAGGGTAGGAAGGGAGAGAAAAGGAGGGAGGGAAGAATAGGACAGGAAGAGGATATGGGAGAGGAGGAAGTGATAGAAAGGAGAGAGATAGGGAGGGAGAGGAGAAAGACCCTTATGCTTGAAGTCCAGGTTATGGGGGAAAAATAGCTGGGGAAAAGCTGATAGCAGCTATGTTAGTGTTTGAAAAGCCATCATTCTTGTTTTTATTTTCAATTCTCAGAAAACTACAGAATTATGAAGCATTGTGCATACAATGATGGTTAATACCTACTTCTTAGAATAACAATTCTATATGCCATATCTTCATGATTCCGAAGTTGTTTAAAACCCCAGGAGAATAATTTTTTTAAGGTGTTGTTAACTGCCATTTGACACATAAAGTTCTTGATTCCTCCAGGAATTACTAATTAGTGGAAAGCTTTGTGTCATACTTTAGGTATTTGTTGGCTATTTACTGTGGGTGTAACAGACACATCTCTACTCTTATAGGACTAGGAACTAAAATGGATGTTTTTGTACAGGCCTAATCATCACTGTCCAAAAATATGGACAATTATCATTTGTCATTTTAAAGTTTTTAGAAGTTTATTTTTCTCTTAGCTCTGAACAAGACCTGTGATTGATAATAATGTACACTCCCTAAGTTCAGTTGCTCCTAATAATTCCTTATAAGGAACTATAATAATGTTGATTTTATCTTTTTTCCACTATAGTTCAAACTGTTGTTGACCAAGCTGGATAGGGAACTTGCTTCTGGCCTTCACATGAGAGCAATAGTAGAATATCATCCTAATAAAGATGAAGACACATTTGACCACATGTTTATTTTTGTAGGAAATAAAGTACTAGAGATTCCTCTAATTGGGTATGTAATCTTTACATTTCCGTCTTCTAAGAATTTTGTTATTATTGAGCTGTGCTAATAACTTAAGAGCATTCTGTAAAGTAGAGCTTATAATCTAAATATAAAATGTCATGAGATTTGTTCCTGTGTGGCAAAAGATTTTAAAAGATATTAGAAAATACACACTATATATATATATACGCTGCAGTGAACACATTAAATTAAAGACATGTGTAGCAAGTTGAATGTCTTCTTTGTACAGAGACCTTGTTTCATATCCTGTGCTTGTTAGTTTTGATCATCTTGATATAAGCTAGAGTCCCCTGTGAAGACAGGCCCTCAGTTGAAGTTTTTTATATCTTTATTATCCTGTATTCAAGTCTGTGGGGGCTTTTCTTGTTCAATTGTTGGTGTGAGATAGCCCAGTCCACTGTGGGCAGTGCCTCCCTTGGCCTGATGGTACTTGAGTGTTTAAGAAAGCAAGGCAAAAAAGCCATAGGGAACAAGTCAGTAAGAAGTGTTATTGTGTCCTTCCTGCCTTTGCTCTTGCTTGAGTTCCTACCTTGGATGCCCTCAATGATGGAATGTGATCTGGATTTGTAAACCAAATAAATTCTTTCTTCCCTAAGCTGGTTTTGGTCAGTGTTTGTTTTATCACAGCAACAGAAAGTGATTATAATGTTTCCCAAATATTGTATCAGTGCTTTTTTAAATTTTTATTATTTCCTTCCTTCCTTCCTTCCTTCCTTCCTTCCTTCCTTCCTTCCTTCCTTCCTTCCTTCCTTCCTTCCTTCCTTCCCTGTGGTTTTGTGAGACAGCGTTTTTCTGTGTATCTTTGGGTATCCTGGACTCACTTTGTAGACCAGGCTGGCCTCAAACTCCCAGAGATCCTCCTGCTTCTGCCTCTGCCTCTGCTGAGTGCTGGGGTTACAGCTGTACACCATTGTGCCTGGCACATCAGTGTTTTCTTTAGAATATTTTATGTCATTCAAAGTATTAAAGTCAGTTCCTTCCTTTTAATGAGTTTCAAAACATTTAATGGACTTATGTGAAGATTCTCAATTTCAAGTATGTTAAAATCAGGTTGTATTATATTTTACATACATTATTTCTTAATGTCTCAAGTTGACAACAGTGTGTGTGTGTGTGTGTGTGTGTGTGTGTGTGTGTGTGTGTGTTTGAGTGTATGTGTATTTACCATGGACCTAACTACAAAGATGTTAGTAACTGTAAACATAATTGTGTGCTTCTTTTCTTCTCTCTTAGTCTGATTCCAACATGTCAACTGGAAATTGTGCCAGTAGTAGATTTTGGCACAATAGTTGCCAACAGTAAAGTGCATTGCAAAGAGATTAGTATTGTTAACCATGGCAAGGCTCCAGGTAAATATTTTGTGTCATATAAGCTCACACATTTAGAAGAGTTGCTATTATAGTAAATGTGTGTATGTTGTATAATCAATTTTCTGAGTTATCAAGAAAAGATGTCTATCATTTGAAATACTTGAAAACAAAAGGTCTTTTAGTGTTGTGACTACAAAGGATAGATATCCAATAATTCAGGAAAACCTGCCTTTTATAATCCATATTATTAACACAGCCTGTTTGTTATATAACAAGAGATTTTCTTCAAGATGGGAGGCAGGATGTTGTCGTAGAAATAACATTGTCCTTAGGCTGATCCAGAGTTTGAGCTAGAACTCAACTAGCTATATCATATGGGCCAAGTGTCTTTAAGAAAACTGAATATCAAATTCCTTATTCAAGAGAAGAGAATAGTAAATATATGATGGTTATTTAGAGATATACCTAAAATTTTGTGTTGTAAATAAAAATATTCTTGTTGTGTTCCATAATGTTTATTATTATTAGCCCTAAGATTATCATGTTAGAATTTATAATTGCCTTATTTACCTTGGGCTGGGAAGATATTTCTACCTATTCTGTCTAAATATCCTCCTTGGCATCCTTCTCCCAGCCTCCATCCAATGCCATCCTCCGTATCCTATCTTCCACTACCTTATAAATACTTTCTTTTATTCTTCATTTGGGCGTTTTCATGCTATTATTAGCTATTATTAGAGTGCTTCCTTCCTGCCCCACTTGGTTTCTTCTTCAGGCTAACCCTTCATAGCGTCCTGTTTTTTTCCTCTCTTCCTGTCCTACTGTCTTGTGATTCTCCCCTGATCTTCTGTCCTCAAAAGCCTAGGAACCTTAGCCAAGTCCACCCCATTCTGCCCTGCCCAGGTATAGGCCATTTAATGGACCAATCAGGTATAATGTTTTAGGCAGGTTTATACAAACAAGATGGGTGTATCCAGTGGGTAGTAACTAAATCTTTAGGGCCAGTAATTAACATTAGACCAACCTCCAACAATTATGGTATGATACTTGTTATCATATTCAACTTGTCATTCACATCATGATCCCTAGAAGGCTTTTAGTAATCTATTGTCACTGAAAGAACACTTTTCTTCAAACTGAATTATTTTTAGAAATTTTTATTTTGGGCTGCTTGAATACTGGGAATTATTAACATAAAAAAACAATCTATCCTATTATTTGGCAATTCAGTGTCCAAGTGGATTCTATAGTAATGTGGACAGGGACTGCTCTGACATAATCTGATTGGCCTGCTCCTTAATCACCTCCCCCTGATCGGGGAGCAGCCTTACCAGGTCAGAGAAGAAGACAATGCAACCACTCCTGATGAGACCTGATAGACTAGGATAAGAAGGAAGGAGAGGAAGACCTCCCCTCTCAGTGGACTTGGGAGGGGCATGAGTGGAGAAGGGTGAGGGAGGATGGAATTGGGTGGGGAGGAGAGAGGGAGCTACAGGGGGGATACAAAGTGAATAAAGTGTAATTAATAAAAATTAAAATAAAAATATTTTTTAAAAGTTAAAAAAAAGATATAAAAGAAGAAAACTTATAGCTGATTTCCGATTGAACCTAGTTCATTTAGCGTTCAATGATTTGGTTCTTTGGCAGGTGAATATTCACTGCTTGGGAGTTTATAGAATATTAGGTTCTAGGATCATTTTTAGTTTGATTCCAATGTGAAGAATAGAGTCTCTTAAGGCATGTGGGTTCTTTGATTCTGAAGAGTAGTAATATTTTAGAGTAGTGATATATGATTGAATTTTTTTCATTTTATTTTGCTTTACATGTTCTTTTTTAACTTATTCATTTATAATCATTTAGGGATTAAATAACGAATAACATCCATTTTAGTCTAAAATCTCCCCAAATTATACCTGTGTAAAATGCAGATTTAGTTTTAATGGCATGTTTAATGCATTTTTCAATGAAACAAATGAAAAATTAAACTTTTTTAATATAAGTATTTTTCCAAAATGAATATATAATATTTTAAGGTACTAGTGAGAGTTGAATTCCGTCTCTGGGTTCAGATTTGTTGGGATTTATAAGTATCTGTAATTAAGATAAAAGCTATTATTTTTGTTCCACAGTGGACCATCTATGTAATGTGTGTCTATTGTAAGTGTGTAGTTGCTTACTTCCAAGTAAGATGTAAGAGTAAGAAACTGTGTCTCTTACTCCCCTCAGGCATGTTTAAAGCAGAATACTACGGTCAGTTACCTATTGTCATTTCTCCAAGTAGTGGTATTGTGAAGCCTCAGTCATCAAAGGTCATCAAAGTAGATTTCTGTGCAGACCGGGCCCACACTGTAAATGAAATGGCAAGGTAAATTTATAGTATGTTCTTTTGAAAAAAAAAAAAGTGCTTCTATAGAACTCAATATTTTCCTGTAGTCTTCTTTCAGATTGATTGCTAGTTTGCCAACTTCTTTTTTTTTCATTTACTACATGTTCAATGAGTTATTTGTATATGTCAAGACATACAAGTATAGGTAATACTCAGCAACGGAAAGTACTTGAGAGTAGCATATGGATACACATAACAGCAACTCCTAAGTTTTGTAGTTGTAAAGGAATGGTCCAAGGATTCCACCAACAAATTGGTAGTCGAATCACACACTCATCATTAAAGAGGATCTAGGTAGCAAATAGCAATGATATGATTGTTGTGTATGCACGTGTGTGTGTGTGTGTGTGTGTGTGTAAAGTGAATATTGATGATAGATTGGATTGCATAAATAATTTCAGGTAGATAAGTTAGCATATTTGAAACTTTAGAAATAACTGCATTCTCTACTGAAGGAGCAGGGATCATATAGAGTTGAAGAAATACAAAGGAGTGATGCAGAGTGAGACTAAAACACACATTAAACAGGACCCAGTAAAGGGCTTATGGGGCATCTTTTTTTTTTTAATGTGATTTGCCTCAGCTCATTCATAGATGAAATGTGCAGTTAATACACTAAGTCAACACTAGTGTGTACAGTAATAAAATAGAAAATATCAGTGTACCTCATTTAAGATGCCCAGTCATCATTCAGAAAGGCAAAAGGGATGGACATCAGAAGAGGGAGAAAACAGGGGACAGGACAGAAGCCTACCACAGAGGGCCTCTGAAAGACTCCATCCTGCAGGGAACCAAAGCAGATGCTGAGACTCATAGTCAAACTTTGGCAGAGTGCAGGGAATCTTTTGAAAGAAGGGAGAGATAGAAAGATCTGGAGTGGACAGGAGCTCCACAAGAAGAGAAAAAATTCTGGGCCCAGGGATCTTTTCTGAGGCTGATACTCCAACCAAGGAGCATCCATGGAGATAACCTAGAACCTCTGCACAGAGGTAGCCTATGGCAGATAAGTGTCCAAGTGGGTTCCCTAGTAATGAGAACAGGGAATGTCTCTGACATGACCTCTGTGGCCTGTTCTTTGATCACCTCCTTCTGAGGGGGGTGTAGCCTTACCAGGCCACAGAGGAAGACAATGCGACCAGTGCCGATGAGAACTGATAGACTAGGGTCAGATGGAAGGGGAGAAGGACCTCTCTTATCAGTGGCCTGGGGAAGGGGCATGGGAGTTGAAGAGGAAGGGAGGGTGGGATTAGGAGAGGACTGGGAGGGGTTTACAGCTGGTATACAAAGTGAATAAACTGTAATTAGTAAAACAATAAATTTTAAAATGTAAAACAATCAAACAAACAAAAATCAAATAAAAATTTCTTTGAGGTTTTGTAGGTCTTTTTTTTCTTTATATTCTTGTGTGCTACTACATTCCATGTAAGGTAAATTTCTTACTGAAGGCCATAGTTGTGGCTTTTGAGAAACAGTTATGAACCTGGTATGAGGTTAGGATCAAATTTGAAGGCAGAAAATTTATCTAAGGATCAGATTCAGTTTTAGAATGTCATAGTAACAGTAAGTGCATGAAACAGATCAGGCAGTACAAAGAAGACTTGAAAATCTGACTAGATATTACAAAACAAAGAAAAAAAGGAAATAGGAAAAGGCAGATTCAAGGCTCAAATTGCAAAAACAGAAAAGTGTGGAGATTTGAGATATGTTATATAAGCCTATTTCACTAATTCTATGCATTACTGAACAAAAGAGGTAAGAGGAAGAAAAGTTTTGCAGAAGGAAGTTCAAATGTGACATGGTGAGACTAAGTTCATTTTCAGAATCATTGTGCAGTGTATAGTTATTAGATATGCTTGCCCTAAGGCCCAGGAAGCTGCTGTGTCCACGTGAGTTGCATACAGAGATATTAGGGTTATATGGGGAAACTAAAACAAGAGTGCTGAGGATTGTTCCGAAAAGAAGATCAGAATGTGAAATGATAAGAGAGAAACAAATAGTTTAAAGAGGATCTATGCCTTAGAATGAAAGTTAGATCATGCATGAGTAAGTTAGAATGAAAACCTGGGGAAGTATTTAATGTCCAAGGATCTGTGGAAAGATAGATTGTTGCGATATGGTATGGATACTGCCGACAATTATATAACAATTCAAATAAGTGTTTATTTATTGCAATATTTATTTTTAAATTTATTTAATAATAAATATATTCATTTTACTTCCTGATTGTAGTCCCTTCCCTCCTTTCCTCTTGGTCCCATCCTCCCACCCTCTTCTCCCATCCCCCCCTTTGCCTCAGAAAAGGCGAGCTCCTGCAACCATTCCACCTAGCACATCAAGTCACATCAGGACTGAGCTCATCTTCATCCACTGAGGCCAGGCAAAGCAGCCCTGTTAAGGGGAAGTAATCAAAATGCAAGAAACTGAGTGCGTGTCGCAGATAGCATTAGTTCCACTTACTAGGGAACTCAACTGAAAATCAGGCTGCCTATTGGTTACATAGGTGTAGAGGGTCTTGGTCTAGTCCATGCATGCTCTTTGGTTGGTGCTTCCATCTCTGTAACCTCCCTCCCCATGGGCCTAGGTTAGTTGACTCTTTTGGTCTTGTGGTATTCTTGTCTTCTCTGGGTACTATCCTCCCTACTCACTCTTCCACAAGATTCCTCCTAATGCTTGGCTTGATCTGATTTGATCAGCTGCTGGGTGAGGCCTTTCTCAGAGGATGTTTATGCTAGGCCCTTGTCTATAAACATAGCAGAGCATCATTAATAGTCATTGTTTAGGAGTAGCCAGTTATTTGTGGTTATTTGGGGTTAAGTTCATAAGATTGCATTTGTGCCAAAAAGGAATAAACATGTCAGGGGAATGCTAAATAAGAAGTGCAGTTAGTTTGAGTACCAAATTTTCTTGTAATGTTTTTTAAGCAATTTTTTCCTGATACACACACACACACTCACACACACACACACACACACACACACATACACATGTGTGTATGTGTAATTTAGGGAACTATTTTATATATATTACAATTATAATATATATATATAATTATATATAATTTAGAGAACTATTATATATATATAAATATAAAATTTAGGGAACTGTGGTATTTGGATGTAGATTAGTTTAGGCTGAGCTTGGGTTGGAATGGATTAAAATGGTGTCTTGGAATTCTTGAGCTAATCTTGTATCAATCATATAACTCCTGTATTTATGAAATAAATAATGATATGAATGTTCCATTGACTCTGCATTCATATCATTAGTTTGTTTTCCAGCATTGTTGTTTTGAGCAGAGACAAAGTTATGTTATACATGTATTTCTCTTTATGGATATAGGCACATTAAGGGACCTGATAACCTCTGGCAGCATATAAAAGGAATAGTTCTTAGTCTGCTGAGTTAGTTATGATGTCATTTTAATCATCTTTATCCAAGTAATTAGAAGAAAATGAATGTATACATTTATAATGAAAATATTTACTCATATACATATTTTATTTTTTTATAGAGTTACTTTGCAAGGTCTTCCTGATACATTCTTGAACATCAAAGTTCATGTGGTTGAACAGATAATTGAAGTGTTTAACATAGAAAGTGACAAGAAATTGGAATGTATACAGTTTGGTGCTGTGTTCTTTGGAACATCAAAAATTGAGCATGCACTTCTGTTTAACAATAGCCCTGAAACCATTAACTGGGTGGCAATAATGCAAAATGATTGTGTTGGAGAAGAGCTGGTAAGTGAACTGTGCAAAAGTGGCACATTATGTCGGAAATAAACTAGATGAGTGCTTTTTGCAAATCAGTGACTGACTATTTATAGTCTCAAGTTTTCAACTGGATCATGTACCACAGTCAAATTTAGGTATATGCTACTTTATAGACTAATACTCTTCATTTTCTAGGTTCTGAAATTTCAATAATTATTTTAACCTTTAAAATATGTTGTTTACTTTTTTCCTAATATGTTTTTGTGTCTTATCTTATGTTACAGGGAACAAATATTCATCAAAGGACAGATGTTGCTTTAAATAATCTCCCTTACTTAAACAAAATAAAGAAAGTCGATGTGACTGATTTTATCTTCTGTGTTCCCAACGAAGGAACTTTACTTCCTTATCAAAAGATTGTTATTACATTTTGCTTCAGCCCAAAGTAAGCAAAAGTGAATTTAATTGTAATCACAATTATAGTAACTATACAGTAACCAGACTTATTCGATGTCATAGCCAAAAATATTTGAAGGCAAAAATCCAATTTTTCTTGCCTTTCTAAATATTTCTAACTTGGTTAAGATTTCCAATATTTGTAACTATCCGATAGTTTATATTAAATTAAAAACAATGTCCTAGACCTATTGGAAATTGGTAATGGCAGTAACGTTTTAGGTTGTTTTAGATTGCTTAAGTTGATTTGTACAGCACAGAACTTGCTGTTACTGCAAGAATCGTCAAGTTCATGTAGTATTTTATGGTGCTGCCAGATAGCAAGTGATGCTCTTACCTGAACAATATCCTTTCTGTCTGAATCCCGTCAGTGTTAAATAAACAGCACCTGCTTCAGATGACCCACATCAGTTAATCATATGTATATATTATCACAGTTCATGGTCCTTGCTTTTGTTATTTAGGCTGAAAGTAGTTTTGAAAATGTTGAATATATGGTAACAAATGCAGTAATATCTTAGTATGTTTATGTGTAAATAGCCAACTGAACTGTAAGAAATTACCTCTTTTAGAGAGTTATTTTCTTTCAGTGTACTACCATCACAACATTGTCAATGATATCATCATTTTGAATGCTGAAGTGTGTTTTAATTGAAGGGGATGTGATGGTTAGTATTATCAACTTGGTAGAATCTAGAATCACAGGGAAATCTCAATGAATGATTGTTTACCTATATCAAGTTAGCCTATAGCTATGTATATGGTAGATTGCTTTAATTGATTTGCGAAGACCCATTCTGAGAGTAGGTGGCACTCTTCTCTGTTTTTGAACCTTATGCTATGTAAGAGTACAGAAAAATTTAATGAGTAATAAACAATTATGCATTTATTTTTCTCTGCTGTGCAGTGGCTATGATGTGTGTGACTAATGCTTTACTTTTTTTTTTTTTTTGCCTTGACTTCTGTGCTTTGATGGAATTTGAACTGGAATAGTGAGCTAAAATAATCATTTCTCTTCTTGGTTGTTTTATTTTATTAACAGAAACAACTAAAGTAGAAAGCTAATCAATAATTGCCCTACTCTTATAATCACAAACTTTTGTACAAGAAGTTTCTTTGGAAAAACCTGTAAGATTATGTTCAACATTCACAAGACTATTATGTTATTTTATGTATATGTCTGTGTATCTTATCTTAGAATATACATTGTTGTGAGTTATGTGGTGTGAGTGCTGGGAACCAAGTCTGGGTCCTCTTAAGTATTTAGTGATCTATTCTGCATTTTCTACCCATATGTACTTTGGAAGAAATTCAAATGTTGTTTTGCGTGACAACATTTTAAATTTATTTAGGAGTCTAGCATGGAAATTTATGTGTGAATATATTTGAAATCTTTGTTAAAATTGAACACACCACATGTATTCTAATTTAATATTACAGATCAACTTCTTGTGTATTTGAGCATCCACAGGCAGTAAAGTTAACATTTAAGTAAGTTAAATATAGTCAATGACCAAGCCTATGGTATAACCTATCTATACCTCTGTTCCTGATTATTTCTTTCGATTCCATTTCTGTAAGAAGATCAGACCTATATCAAATCATTTTCTCTACTTATATACTACCATGAACTTATCAATTTACTTCACCGCTGGAAATAAATATGTAACAGAGGTTACTACCAGAGGCAATATGGGTTATTATAGGGTCCTTAACTAACAATGAATTCTGTCTGGAAGAAAAAAACATTATGAACATTCTGAAGTGTGATGTAGGATTTTGCAAACTGGTATAATTTAAGTTATTTTTGTCTTAGAAGTATTTGTATTAATTCATTTCTTTCCTTGAGGTTTATGTTCTGGGAGCCTCTTTTGTTAGTAAATTTGGGAAATGGGTAACAGTTGTGTTATTATTCCTTTCCTTCTGCTTGCGTAGATTTAAGGATTATGTCAAAATTTTATTGAAAAGTGACAAAATATGTCACCTCTGCTGTAAAAATAATGAGTTGTGATATTTACAGGCTTGTAGTTGATGTTCAAAGGGATGTCGGGCCTTCACATAGGCAAGACTATGCTCTCTTTGTGAGATTTGATTCTGTGGGAAGTAAAGATGGATTTTTAAGAGATGATAACTCTGACACCATGAAAAGTAAGTATAAAATTAGCAAGATCCTTAAATGTGTAGCAGTTAAAATTCTTTAAAAGCAAAAAAACCAAAAAACAAAACAAACAAACAAAACCCCATGAAGTTGGGAAGGAAATGTTAGGGAATAGGGAGGAAATGGACAATAAATGGAAAGTGAATTTGAAAAAGCTCATTATATGCATGTGTGACATTCTCAAGCAATAAAACTAATGAACATCACAGAAAAAATATAAAGTACATAATTTTTATATTGAATAAAAATTCAAGCAAGTTCATGGCCTTAATATGCCATCTATGGCATATTAGAACCTTAGAATCATTTTCATAATTTTCCAACTTAGAATTTACATGACTACATAAACATGATTAAAGGATTTGAGAAATTAAAAACAAACGTTTTTGTTCTTATATATAAAAGGTTTGTTCTACAGACTGGACACAAAACAGATGAGTCATTCTATATTTGACCTTTAGAATGTTACATGTAGTAAAGTTAAAGAACAAGGCTGAGAAGCTTAGTGAGGTTGAATGCTTTTAATCCCAGCACTTTGGAGACAGAGGCAAGTTGACCTCTGAGAGTTTGAGGCCAGACTGGTCTACAGACTGACTTCTAGGACAGCCAGGGCTACACAGAGAAAACCTGTCTCAAAAAAAAAAAAAGACAAAAAGGAACAAGATTGAGATCTATTAAGCAGAGTATAATACTGTCTTTAGATATATACTATGAGAAGGTAAGGAACATGAGAAGGTAGGCCACATATATATTCTTTTGCAATTGCAGGTAGTTTTGTGTTGATTGGAGGTAAGCAAAACTGTGATAGTGCTTGAGTCATTTTTTTTTTAATAAGTCAAATAAAAGATGAAGGAATACCTAGGAGAAGTAAACCTGTCCTGTAATTTTAGGAAAGCCAAGAGTCTGGAATACTTGCAGGCCAGTATGAGTGCTACTGAGCAAGATTAAAATGTTTTACTATTTAACACACAAACATACACACACACAATCTTGCTCGTATGGCAGAAATGTATTGCTGTTATTACTTATGTTATGGCTTTTCATATGGAACTGTTTCTTGCTCAGATAACATTTATTTGAAGTCTTCTGTTACTGTAGCTTTTGTTTTTCATTTTCCCTTTTACTGAACATAGATTCTTCTCTCATACAATATATCTTATTTATAATTTCTCTTCCCTCTACTCCTTGCAGTTTTTCTCCACATTTCTTCCCTCTGGATCTGCTTCCTTTTTCTAAACAGGAGTCTCTGATTAGAAAATAACAGGCTTCTAAGAGTTAACAATCAAACATGACCAAATAAGATATAGTAAGGTAAAGCAAAATCTTTCACATCAAAGTTGAATACTGCAGCCCAACAGGAGAGAAAGACTCTCAAGAGCAAGCACAAGAGTCAGTGGACCATCAGTTTTCACACTTAGAATTCCCATAAAATTACTAGGCTAATATCTATAATTTGTATGTAGAGCAGCTGGTGTGGTCCTGTTAAGGCCCCATGTTTGCTGCTTCAGTGTCTATGAGGTCATGTATGTCTTGCTTAGCTGATTCAGAGGGTCTTGTTCTCGTGGTTCCCTCCATCTCCTCCGGCACTTACATTCTCCCTGTCTACTCTTCTGTGGTATTCCTGAGCTCTGAGGGGAAGTGTTTGGCTTAGGTCTCTCATTTAGACTGTCTTTTCACATAATGTCTGGCTATGCATCTCTGCATCTGTTCCCATCTGCTGCAGGACGAAAGCTTCTCTGATGATGGTTGGATAAGGCATTGATCTGTGAGGACAGCACAATACCATTAGTAGTCATTTTATTGATTTTTTTTTTTTAGTTTGTTTTTGACCAGTAATATTTGGTTTTACCCTAGGACTCTTGGTTATCTAGTCTCTAGTTTTTGTTTATCTGAGCAGTGTCTGAATGGCTTTTTAAAAAGGAGTTGACGCCAATACTCCTCAAATAATCCCATAATATGAAAAACAGAAGGAACATTGCCTGATTCATCTTATGATGACATGGCTACTCTGACTGCAAGGAGAGACAGATGAAATGGAACTGGCCTTAAGATAAATCAGACAAAGGTTGTCTAATTCTGTGGCACCATTGCCTAGTATATTTTTAGGCAGGACAGATCAAAAGTTTTAGGTAAAATATTTAGTGGTTGGGTTAGTATACACATTTCTCTTTCTGCAAAGTACCTTCCTGCAACAAGGAGTCTAGAACATAGGTTTGAAGTCTCCATTACTAGTTCAATGAGTACTAGTTCAATGAGCCCTGTTGATGTTGTCTTAGGCAATGGGGCCCTGCTGTCATTGTGCAGAGTGCAGTCTCCTATCCAAGAAACAGCCCAGGGTATTTGGGGATTTCCATGTGACTCCTGGAAACTCAATTAAGTGCAATCCATTCTTGTGACTGGAAGACTTGCCTGGCTGAAAGAGATGACAACTTGAGATTCCATATGAATCTTTCCTAGGAGTTCTCATTAAGATCACTTTCAAACATTCCAGGAAGTTTCTACTGCACTAAGTTTCCACACCACCCCCTAAAATCACCCCTAATTTCAGCTGTCTCTCCTTGCACTCAGGGTAACCATGTCCTCATAAAATGAATTTGGCAATGTTCTTTTTGTTTTTCATTTTATGGGAGTATTTGAGGAGTATTCGCCTCAACTTTCTTTTTCTTTTTAAAGTCTGGTAGAAGGCAGCACTAAAACCATCTAGTTCTTTGTCATTGGATGACTTTCATGGCTGCTTCTATTTCCTTAGGAGTTATAGCTTTATGTAAAATTTTTGTTTGGTTTTGATTTAACTTTGGTAAGTGTTACCGAAGGTGAAAATTACCCATTTCTTTTAGATTTTCCAATTAGATGGAGTTACAGGCTTTTAAAGTATGTTTTTTTTTTTTTTGATTCTCTGCATTTCCTAGGTGCCTATTATTATACCCCCTTTCATTTCTGCTATTGTTAATTTGAATATTCTTCATCTGTCTTTCAGTTAGTTTGGATAAAGGCTTGTCTATCCTGTTCATTAAAAACAAACAAACAAACAAACAACTCTTTGTTTTAGTGATTCTTTGTATAGTTTTCTTTGTTTCTATTTTATTGATTCCAGCCCTGATTTTGATTATTGACATCTAGTCATATTGGGTATCCTTATTTATTTTTGTCCTATAGCTTTCAGGTGTCCTGTTATGTTATTAATATGAGACCTCTCTCTCTCCCTCTCTTTTTTGTGTAGGCACTTAGTGCTATGAATTTTCTTCTTATCACTGCTTTCATTGTGTCCCTTGAGTTTGCATATGTTGTGTATTCATTTTCATTGAATTCTACAAAGGCTTAAATTTCCTTCTATTTTCCTGTCTTGACATGTTTTTCATTCAGTAGAAAGCTGTTCAGAATTTATGAGTTTGTGATAATTCTGTTGTTTCTGTTGTTGTTGATATCTAGCTTTAATTCTTGGTGATCTGATAGGGAACTATTTCAATGTTATATTTGTTGAGACTTTCTTTTTGTACAAGTATGTGGTAAATTATGTAAAAATTTCCATGAGTTGTAGAGAACAGGGCATATTTTTTTTGTGTGTGTGTTTTGGTGAAATTTTCTGTAAATATCTGCTAGGTCAATTTAGTTTATAACATTTCTCAGCAACCTATTGAGCGACCTGTTAGATATGCCCACTAGGTTGTCTACTACACAGTGGCTCACTCTAACTTAGCTTTCATATATGTGTGTGTGTGTATTTTATTAATTACAATTTATTCCCTTTGTATCCCACCTGTAGCTCTCTCCATCTTCCCCTCCCAATTTCCTCCTTCCTCCCTCTTCTCCACCAATGCCCCTCCCCCAGTCCACTGATAGGGGAAGTCCTCCTTCTATCAGATCCTAGTCTATCAGATCTCATCAGGACTGGCTGCATTGTCTTCCTCTGTTCATATCCAGGCCTGAAACACTGCCTAGAGATATTGCTGCCTATAGTGAACTGGACTCTCCTGTATCAATAAATAATCAAGAGAAATAGCACAGAAATATCCACAGGCCATTCTAATCTAGTCAATTACTTGAATGACCCAAGACAGTTTCAAGTTAATAATTAGAGCTACAAATTTCAAAAAAAATATATACATTTTCGATAAATTGCTGTCTCCTTCAATCTTTATGAATCCCCAGAAATAGCAATTCTATCCTTTCAGTTGCTTACGCATGCACTGAAACACACAACAAAAATAAATAAATCACAGGAAAACAAACAAACAAACCTTAGTTTTATCATTTAGCATTTGTTGATTTTCCTGTCTTCCACCCAATAAATGGGCGAATATTATTTACTCTACCCTTAAGAGTGTGTCTATAACCTTGGCTATTTCTTATCATTCTTTGACAATTCCCCCCCAAAAAAACTAATCTGGTTACTTATGGCTTTTTATTTTGTTTTGTTGAGACAGGGTTTCTTTGTGTAGCCTTGGCTGTTCTGGACTCACTTTGTAGACCAGGCTGGCCTCAGAGTCACAGAGATTAGCCTGCCTCCACCTCCCCTAGTGCTGGGATTACAGGTGTGTACCACTGTGCCCTGCTCCTTATGGCTTTTTGAACATGAAAAGTACTTTTCTACTTCAGAGTGCTTGACTTTGTTCTTTCTTCTTGGAATACACTTCTCCTGGGTATTCATTTCCTTTGATTGTTTGCCCAAATGTTATGTTATATAAAAGGAACTGTTTGAATATCTCTACCTAAAACAATAACCCAAAGGCTTTGTATTCTCTCTCTCTCTACTTTGCCTTATGTGTAGTACAGAGAAGGTAGTCAGTGGTTTTGTTGAAGTTTAAATGATTTTCTTATTTATCATCATGTTTTTATTAAAAGTGATACCATGTGGGCTAAGCAAATAGATTTTTGATTCTCCAAACACTCCTCACTGTGTTCAATAGTTACTATTGTTTTTCTAGGTAATCAACTTCAAAAAGTGGAGTTAGCACTGACAGGCTCTGGACTTCCTGTCTTAGTACAGTTTGATCCTGGAAAAGAACTGACTTTTGCACCTTGCTACATGGGTGAACATTCGGAAAGTCTGTGCGTTATAAAAAATCATTCCATATCACTCCCTGTGCTATACCGTTTTCAAAGAACTCCACACTTTAAAATGTATCCTGAAAAGGGCAAAATTGAAGAAGGATGTTTTCAGGTAAGCAAGCTTATGCTTTGACTTCCATTTATAGCACTTTGGCTATTTTTTTTTGCTAAAATATTATACAAAGAATTAATAACCATATTTGATCTACTAGTCTTTATGAAGTATGTCCTGTATTGTCTAGAATTGTAAAGGTAGTCATAGAGAATCAATAATTCTTTGTTAGGTGTCTTCAATGTGCCAGTGAAAGCATGTGATTCTTAAATACAGTGTGAAATACAGTTATTGCTTCTTAAACAGTTTTATTGTATTAAAGAATTATAAAACATACATAAAAACATGCATCACCTAAGAAATAGAGTGCTGAATAGGCTCTCTATTGTAGTACCATAAAAACTCACAGAACAAATGTATTATTTTCATTCAGGAAGGATATTGTGCAATAATCACATGAGTAATACCTTGCAGATCAATTCAAAATTTGAAATTTGAAATGGGTACTAGTTACCTAGTTTGCAACTTATTATGTTGAGGAAAAACAAACAAACAAAAATATGGACAGTATGAAAGTCCTATCGGCACCAGGCCGATTCCTATGTTTCTAGGGTTATTTTAATTATGACTGGCCACTCTGACATCTTTTTTCTAGGCATTCTAAAACAGATTTCTTCAGGATTCTCTACTCATCTCTTTTCTTTCCTGAGAAAGTTTTATGTGACCCTAAGTATATATTATGTATACAAATATAATATGTTAATATCAAAATTCTTCATTTTCTACAATTAAACCAGTATATTTCTATAACAATAGAAAACTCTGACTTAATAGGCATGGGCCAGACAGTAGGAGAGGAGGATTTCCCCTGTCAGTGGATTGGGGGTGAAGGACATAGGGGAGGAAGAAGGAGGGAGGGTAGGACCAGGAGGAGATGAGGGAGGGATAAAAAACAAATAGATTATAAATAGTAATAATAATATAGGAAAAAAGAAAAATTTGTGTCTGTAGTACAAAGAATGTGCATAAAACCATACAGTGGTTTCAAATCTGAGTCCATGCGTTTCATGCATTATGCACTGTTGTTATGTCACATGATGCATAAACACTACTAAGTATGCTTTTTATATTCTCTGAAGCAAGGTTGTGGTAAAGATTTGTGTTGCAGCACAGACTAGGATTGCAAGGAAAACCTCGGCTTAGTTACACATTTAACTTTCATTTAGTTTTGGTTCATTGCATATTCAGAAGCTTTTTATTGTTGCCAGATTTTGTGTTCTTCCTACAAATTACGTTTTAGGACACCATATATGTGTGTGACCTAAATTAGGGCTTAGAATTCTATGGTCTGTTGAACAATTCTGGCTTGATACTTGATGTTTTCCCATTTAAGCTATTATGATGTTATAAACATTCATGGGTGATTTTTTTTGGAGATAAACATTTAACATTCTCAAAATACACCACGTAGAGGTATTGTTAAATCTTGAGAATATTGTGTTTAACATTTGGAGCTATTCCCATAGTGTTTGTCAAAATGACTGCATAATTTCATATTTCTTCTATCAATGAATTAGAAGTCTAATTTGTTTATGTGCCTTTCTATACTTGATAATGTTCTTTTTCATTACAATCATTTTAGTGGGTAAAAAATGACATGCTAATATAGTTTTAATTATGATTTTCCCATTAACTGATGATGAAGGCTATCTTTTACTGTTTTATTTTTCATTCATATTTTTAAAGGAAATATTTACTTATTTCCACAGCAAGGTGAGTGATGTCTTACTAGAAATATTACTATTTGAATCTCTCAAATTTATGTGTTATGTTCTTTGAATAGGAGAATTAAAATATCAGTTACAACTAAGATTGAAAACCATTTGCTCTTAAAATGCATAAATTATCAGGTCTCATCAGGCCTGGTTGCATTGTCTTCCTCTGTGGCCTACCAAGGCTACCCCTCTTCAGGAAGAGGTGGTCAAAGAGCTAGCCACTGAGTTCATGTCAGAGATACTCCCTGTTCCTCTTACTAGGGAACACACTTGGACACTAAGACCTGATAAGCTAAGGTCAGATGTAAGGGGAAGAGGAGGAGGACCTCCCATATCAGTGGACTTGGAGGGAGGAATGGGAGGAGATGAAGGAGTGAGTGTGAGATTAGAAGAGAATGAAGGAGGGGGCTACTGCTGGGCTACAACGTGAATAAACTATAAATAATATAAAAATCAATTTAAAAATGGGTAAATTAGTCATTGTTGTCTGAGTGGTCCCAATACAATCACAAGAATACTTAATAGAGTAAGAAGAAACATCAGTGTTAAAGTGATACGAAAATTGTCTTTCAGTGGCTTCATAAATGGAAATGAGGGCTGTAAGTCAACGAGTATGATGGTTTCCAGCATCTAGCATAAAAAGAATAAAATGAAACTCAGGTTCTCCAATAGATCTTTCAGAATGCAAGCATGGATCAAATGATACAGATTTTGGTTCTTCAGAATTTAAGGGAGACCTACACAAGTATAAAATAAGAAATTGGAGGATAACCCATGATTTTTTAAAAATTATTTGAAATAGCAAAATAGGAAATTATTATACTATCCCTTGCCCATTCTTGTATTTATTCCATGTATATTTTTTATTTTAAGCTTTTATTATTTATAAATTTTATAAATGTGTAAAATGCATCTTGATTATTTTCTATCTCTGCTTCCCTCTAACACTCTCTGCCTTCTTTCCTCTAAGTATAGTCAAATTCTCATTTCTTTCTTTCTTTCTCTCTGTCTATGTGACTGTATCTCCCTTTGAGTCAAATTTGTGCTTTCCACTTGTGGAGGGGAGTGTGACTGTCCACTAGGGCATAAGCAAACAGCTAGTGGTCAGTCCCCAAAAGAAAAGTGACTTTCCCTCTCTCAGAAGCAAGCTATCACTTGCCAATAGCTCCTCAGGTAGGGGAGCATATCTCTATTTCATTCTGGAATTTTTTAAATAAGTTTAGTTTTGTTCAGGTCTTGTGCTGAATTCATGTTTGCAACACTATGTCAGGTCCAGAGGACAGCATTCCACAGTACTCTTCCAGAATCTCTGGCTCTGACATTCTTTCTGCACCCTCCTCTGTGATGTTTTCTAAGCCTTGCACGGATTTCAAGGTGTCCATATAGATGTCTCATCTGTGGATGGGCATTCACCGTCGCTTACTCTCAGTACCTTGAGCACTTCATCTTTGCATTAACTGTTAATATACTTCAACAAGAAGTACCAGACTGTTTCTCCAACCAAGGACCCTGTATGGATATAAGCTAGAACCCTTACTCAGATGTAGCTCATGTTAGCTCAATATCCAAGTGAGTTTCCCTAGTAAGGGGAACAGGAACTATTTCTGACATGAACTCAATGACTAGCTCCTTTACCTTTCCCCACCCCTGCCCCGAGGGAGGAACAGCCTTGCTAGGCCACAGAGGAGGACATGGCAGCGAGTCCTGAAGATACCTGATAAGCTAGGGTCAGATGGAAGGGGAGGAGGACCTCCCCTAGCAGTGGTCTTGGAAAGGGACAGGGTGGAGATGAGGGAGGGAGAGTAGGATTGAGAGGGAATGAGGGAGGAGGCTATAGCTGAGATACAAAGTAAATAACCTGTGATTAATATAAAAAAATAAAGATTAATAAAAAAAGAAGTACCAGGCATGAATGCTGGAATGTTTTTCTTTCTTGTTGAAATGCAAATTCTTTATATGTTCTAGATACAAATTTCAGTCAGATAAATAAATTAGAAATACCTTTCCTATTTGGTGGATCTCTCTTTTTCTTTTTAAAAATTTATTTATTACAGTTTATTCACTTTGTATCCTGGCTGTGGCCCCCTCTCTTGTCTCCTCCCAATTCCATCATCTCTCCCTCTTCTTCTCCTATGTCTCTTCCCCAATCCAGTGTTAGGGGAAAACCTCCTCCCCTTGCATCTCACCCTAGTCTATCAGGACTCATCAGGACTTGCTGCATTGTCTTCGCCTCTGGCCTGATAAGGCTGCTGCTCCCTCAGGGGGAGGTGATCAAAGAGCTAATCACTGAGTTCTTGTCAGAGACAGTCCCTGTTTTCATTACTAGGGATCCTACTTGGATACTTAGCTGCCATGTGCTACATCTGAGAAAGGATTCTAGGTTATATCCATGAACGGTCCTTGTTTGCAGTATCAGTCTCAGAAAAGACTCCTGTGCCCAGATGTTTTAGTTGTGTTATTCTTCTTGTGGGCTCCTGTCTCCAACAAGTCTTTCATCTCCCCCTTTGTTCGTTATATTCGCAGCAGTCTGCCCAAAGTTTGGCTAGGAGTCTCAGTATTTGCTTTGATACCCTGCTGGGTAGAGTATTTCAGAGGCCTCTATGAGTAGGTTCCTGTCCTGTTTCCTGTTTTCGACATCTTCCGATGTCCATCTGGTGTGTCTTTCTGAGTGAGGATTGATCATTTTATGGAGGGTCCTCCTCCTTGCTTAGATTCTTAAGTGTACAGATTTTTGTATATTTATCCTATATTATAGGTCTAATATCCACTTATAAGTGAATATATACCATATGTGTCTTTCTACTTCTGGGATACCTCACTCAGGCTGATCTTTTCTAGATCCTATCATTTGCTTGCAAGTTTCTGATTTCCTTGTTTTTAATTGCTGAGTAGTATTCCATGGTGTAAATGTACCACAATTTTTGAATCAATTCCTCTGTTGAGGGACATCTGGGTTGTTTCCAGATTCTGACTATTAAGAAAAAAGCTGCTATGAACATGTTTGAGCTAATTTCCTTGTTGTATACTTGAGAATATTTTGGATATATGCCTAGGAGTGGTATAGCTGGATCTTGAGGTAGCATTGTTCACAATTTTCTGACAAAGCACTGGAGTGATTTCCAAAGTGATTATAAAAGTTTATATTCCCACCAGCAATGGAGGAGGATTACCCTTTCTCCAAATACTCTCCAGCATGTGTTGTCACTTGAGTTTTTGATCTTGATCGTTCTGGTTGGTGTAAGGCATAATCTCAGGGTTATTTTTATTTGCACTTCCCTGATGACT